AACGTGTCTGTTACAAAACACAGTTTTCTTTGGACGACCTGTGATTTCATTGTAATGTGGTAAAGTTTGAAACGCCAAGCAGAGTTCAGTGAACATGATTTTTAGTGTGCGTGTTAATAATGGAGACAGTTTGTGGTTAAAATGTTTTGATATTGGCCCTTAAAGTCATAGTTCTGATCTTTTAAAATGGAGTTCTGTGGGAAAGGTTATGAACAATCTGAAGCTGTTGCACATAGCTCGTTGAACAGCTTCAGTTTGAGGAAACAGAGATCTATTCTGACCATATTGAGAATATGACAGCTTGTCTAAACACAATCAGAGGCAAAGTAGATTGTCACCATCATAAAATAGACTGAATTTATTTAAAAAATCATATTTGTTCATGCAAATACTGTTTTGCAAACCTATACATCTTCATCAGTTTTGCATTGCAGTGATTCAAACTAAATTATTGTGAAATTCCTGCAGGAATTGACCCATCACTATGGATTTCTATGTAAATAAGAATAGTAAGCAATATAAAGTCTTAAAACCTAACAGTAGCATGAGCCACTATATATTTTTGTCTGATTGAGGATGGCAGCAATTAACATTGGTCTTGTTCCCACCTGGACTACATCAGCTCATCATTCTGGTCAGAATTAAACTCTGTTTCTCCAAAATTAGTCACTCTCCTATCTACAACAGGTACGGTTTTAAATGTTCACAACCTCTTCATGGAACTCCTTTAAAAACAATCTAAACTCTTCAATGGGTGTTATTTAATCTATCCGCCACAGATGCATTCACGACATGTGAACTAGGCCAGTTCCTGTGTGGGAACGGTAAATGCATCACCCAGAGATGGGTGTGTGACGGTATGGACGACTGTAGAGACGGTACTGATGAGCTTCCTGCTACCTGCTGTGAGTATCATGTAATAAGCTGGATTTGTTATGTTCTTAATGTGTGGAAATCTCATATCCTATATGGTTAACAATAAAATTAAGTTTTCAATATTTTCCGTGTAATATTTCCACTCTAGTGGTCAAAACGTGCGCACCAACAGAGTTCAGCTGCGCAGACCGCCTCAACAACTGTGTACCGAGCACCTGGCGTTGCGATGGAAATGCTGACTGTGAGAATGGAGCTGATGAGGAGAACTGTGGTAAGCGTGTCGTGTTCGGTTTCTGTCAGATTGGACATTTATCTTTTCTGCTTGGTTAGTTTTTAGTTGCTTTAACAGGCCTGTCTTAAATCTCCTCTTGCAGCTCCCAAGCAGTGTACAGACTCAGAGTTTCTCTGCAAGACCGGCCAGTGCATTTCCTCGTCCTTTGTGTGCGACAGCGAGGACGACTGTGACGACGGCAGTGACGAGGCTTCCTGCCCAGCCGTCACCTGCAGCTCTTGGTCTTTCCAGTGCAAAAACACCGTTTGCGTTCCTCAATCGTGGGCCTGCGATGGTGACCCCGACTGCCACGACGGCTCGGACGAGTGGCCGGAGAACGAGAACTGCAACGGGAACACCCGTACCCAAACCTCTCATCCTCGCCAGTGCTCCTCCCTGGAGTTCCACTGTGCTAGTGGGGAGTGCATCCACGGCAGCTGGAAGTGTGATGGAGAGACTGACTGCCTCGATCAATCAGACGAAGCTGGCTGTAGTAAGTGAGACTTTAAGTAATTCCTGACCTTTAACGCATAAGTTGCGTCTTATATTTTGTCCTCACTGTTTCCGTATAGCTCCTTTCACCTGCCGTCCCGATGAGTTTCGATGCGGGGATGGCACGTGCATCCACGGCAGCCGCCAGTGCAACAGTTTCTACGACTGCAGAGACATGAGTGATGAAATAGGCTGTGCCAATGGTACAAAGTCCCTGCCCTGTCCTTCCTATCTTCCAAATAATCTGCAGAATCTCTCATTTGGGTTTGTGTGTCTTACCTACAGTTAGCCACTGCGACGGTCCGACCAGATTTAAATGTCTCAGCGGGGAGTGTATAAGCATGGAGAGTGTGTGTGACAACAAGCGTGACTGCAGGGATTGGTCAGATGAACCTCTTAAGGAGTGTGGTGAGTGCAGAGGCTCTTCATTCACAGCTGAGAGTTTAATTACTAGTTCATGTGTCTAATTAGGTTCTCACCAGCTCAACGTTGTAATTTTATCTCCATAAAACTGCTTTCTTCTTCTCTTTGCAGACTCCAATGAGTGCATGTACAACAATGGCGGCTGCTCTCATATTTGCAAAGATCTGAAGATCGGCTATGAGTGCTTATGTCCAACTGGTTTTAGCCTCGTGGACAAAAAACGCTGTGAAGGTAAAGCCACACAGGCTCAGTGTTGGACAGTTTCGTTCATCCACTTTATTTTAGGTTTTATGACCTTAACACAGATTAACAAATGATGCCAATAATCTGTTTGCTGTGACGCAAACCCTTCTCTGTGCTTTCAGATAAAAAGGGAACTTGTAATTCGTGTGAGCTCAGCATTATTCTGTTTAATTATTGAGCTTTTTTTTAAAACTCAGATATCGATGAGTGTGCCAACTCGGAAACCTGCAGTCAGATCTGCATCAACCAGATGGGCAGCTACAAATGTGAATGTGAAGAGGGTTACCAAATTGATCCAGCAACCAAAACGTGCAAGGCCATTGGTAAGAGTGATTCTCCCGTGTTTTGCCAACACGTCTTTTTCCTTTACTTTGATATATTACTAATAGAAAAATCCCAAGTAGCCTTAGGAAATGGTTGTTGTCCTTTTCCAGGACAAAATTAAAAAACCCTTACTTTGTTGGGATGTTGAAGTATTTTACTCCATGTAAATTGAATTATTTACACATTTTAGTACATTTTTTAACAGTTCATTAATAACACTTAATATTATTACAAAAAGTGAAATAAAAATGGGGAAACTGATAGCTGCACTAGAATAGAACAGAAATAACCTTTATTGTCCCTCAGTGGGGAAATTGTACCAGAAGCAAAGTGACAGGCAAATCGGAACCTGCAGACTCACACAAAGGTAAAAAACGATAATATATAAAAACAAAGTACAAATAAGAGACTGTACTGCAAAGACGATATGTGCAGGTGTATTTTTACAAGAAAAATTAAATTCAGTTTATTTATATAGCACCAGGTCACAACAGAAGTCATCTCAGGGAACTGAACAGAAACATTCATATACCGGTACATAAGAAGTAAGTTAATAACATTATTAATCTGAGGAGCAGACTGTTTTGAGTTTAACTTCATCACATACGCTCATCTTGAGCAAGTATGAAGGCAACTGGGGAAAGGAAAAACTCCCTCATGAGGAAGAAACCTTTAGCAGAACCAGGCTCAGGACAAGTGGACATCTGCTTTGACCGGCTGGGTTTGGTAGGAACAGATACACAATGGCAGGTCAAGAATCACATGTTAAAATAGAAATAGTATCAAATGAAAACTATTCAGTTTTAACAATTCATTTAAGGAAATGAGATCAATTTGTCCTCTAGTAGTCAAAGCTTAAAAGAGCATGACAAACCAACCCTAACTATAGGATTTATCATAAAGGAAAGTCTTAAAACTGGACAATGTGTCAGCCTCACAGACAGAAACTGGAAGTTGGTTCCACAAGAGAGGAGCCCGAGAACTGAAAGATCTTCCTCCCATTCTGCTTTTGGAAACTCTAGGAACCACTATTAAGCCTGCAGTCTGAGAGTGCAGTGCTCTGTTAGGAAAATATGGAACAATAAGATCTGTAATATAAGATGGAGCTAGGTTGTTCAGGGCTTTGTAGGTTAGAAGTAGGATTTTGAATTATATTCTGGATTTGACAGGGAGCCAATGGAGAGAAGCTAAAACTGGAGAGATATGATCTCTCCCACTAACTCCAGTTAAAACTCTGGCAGCAACATTTTTGATCAACTGAAGACTTTTTAAAGAACTATTTGGACACACAGATAATAAACCATTGCAATAGTCCAGTCTAGACATGACAAATGCATGAACCAGTTTTTATGCATCATTTTTTGATGTTTCTAATTTTAGTGATATTATGCAGGTGGAAGAAGGAGGTTTTAACATTTTTAATGTTGGGGATAAAAGACATGTCCTGATCAAAAATAACACCAAGATTTTTAACATTAGAGCTGGAGGACAGATTAATGCCATCTAAGGAGGGAGAAAGACTGAAAATTTATTTCTAAGGTGCTCAGGTCCAAAAACCAAAACCTCAGTCTTGTCTGAGTCAGAGTCAGAGATTCTTTATTGGCATTCTCACCACATGTGGTACATGTGGCGGAGCAAAATTATGTACACAGGGTCCCAGTTACATCCAACAATAAAATGTATAAGAAAAACAGTAACAACATCTAAGATATGAACTAAGAAAAACATCAACTAAATATACACTAAGCACTCGTAACATAAAACACTGAACATCAGCACAAACATGAACATGAGTCTGTGAGCAGATG